GTACATTTCTTAACAAGCATTGTTGCTTCCTCCTTTGTTTCCCCTTCCCATCCCTTCTCATTTATGCCTCCCCCACCCTACCCGATCCCCCGCCCCCATCAAAGTTGTAAAGTTCATTTTCGACATCTCATTGTTGCAATGGGTCCACCTGTATCCCTAGTTAAACGATTTGTTTTTTCCCTTCCCCTTCACAAATTATACCAACATCAAATACAGTGAAAGCAGGGGTTATACCATGGGGGAGGTACATACAAAGCAACAAAGAAATCATCTTATAAATATGTTAGAAACAATTGCATGAAAGAAAAAAAAAACATTTGAATACTTATCTTGGGGTTCATTTCCCTAACTTATCTGACCTTTTCTGCTTGACTCAGACATACACTGGTTATGGTTATCAGTAATTTCAAATAGAATGCATTATTGAAACATCCAACCAGGCAAAAACAACCTGTGTAGATGGCCATCAAACCAGCAGCTGCTCCAAAGGGCCAGGAGAGGATTTTCTAGGCTAACAACAACGTTCACCTTGTTTTGTGTGGTTGCTTACATGAGTGTACAATTATTAAAACCTTTCTTGGTGTTCTTTCTGATGGTGAACCCCAGATGCTTTTTAGCTCACCTTCCATTTTTAAATTGTTTCATTGTTGCTATTGCTGTTTAAAACTATACTTTTTTTTCCATCTTTATATTGACCTTAAGCCTTTAGAGTGCTTATTTTCACAGATTAAAAAGTTAATTAAAATATCAATCAGTCAAAGTGATGACCTTAATTATAATAAAGGATGGAATACCTGCATCAGGATATATAAACTCACGCTCTAATCATTCCAGACAGAAGATTTATACTGAGGTCTTGTGGCAATTAATGTAGAAGCCTTGTGATTGGATGTGCTTGGCCTGTCAAAGAGAGAATAAGGAGACCAGAACAATTTGAGTGGATTTGAGTGTTAGGGTGTAAGGTCAAAGGGGAAATTAAGGTCAAGCCACTTAGGGAACGTAGGTGGTTGTGAGGTAAACTATTGTGAGGCTATTTCTTTGGAATAAGACTTTTCTAGAGGAAGGAAGAAGAAGAAGAAGGAGAAGGAGAAGGAGAAGGAGAAGGAGGAGAAGGAGAAGGAGAAGGAGAAGGAGAAGGAGAAGGAGAAGAAGGAGAAAAAGAAGGAGAAGGAGAAGGAGAAGGAGAAGAAGAAGAAGAAGAAGAAGAAGAGGAGGAGGAGGAGGAGGAGGAGGAAGAAGAGGAGGAAGAAGAGGAGGAAGAAGAGGAGGAGGAAGAGGAGGAAGAGGAAGAGGAAGAAGAAGAGGAAGAAGAAGAGGAAGAAGAGGAGGAAAAGGAGGAGAAGGAGGAGGAGGAGGAGGAGGAGGAGGAGGAGGAAGAGGAGATGAATGTGAGGAAGAGAAGGAAGAGGAAGAGTAAGGAGACGGAGAAAGAGAAGGAGAGAAGCCCTGGTCATGTTACAGAATCCTGGCAGAAATAGTATATGAACTTACCATGCAGCTAAGTGGTCCATCATAAGTTGAGCCCTCTCAACCCCATCAAATCAGAAGGTCAAACAGGCCTAGAAAAACAAATAAATTTGTGCCAGTGGTGTAATTTCTCTATGGGTATTTTCCATAAGTTCCACATTGCATCTTTTCTCACCATTGAGACTCACAATATCACATTTGCTAGCTGGATTTCCCGAACAGTAGAGTCCCTTACACTACAGTGTGGACCTGCCACAAAGTCCTTTCTCATTCTGATCCTTACTCATTGACTTATGTGCCACTTGGCATAAGGTCTAGAGCCACATATGGGACATGTTGATTTCAGAACCCAAGAGCCTAACAGGTACTGTGCTTCCTTCTATGGGTTTTAGTATTCTAAATTTCAACCAGAGGGTCTTTTAGTTTGGAGGATCTTTTTTTTAAAATTTTCTATTGTGAAAATACCATACAGAGGGGTTGCAATTACATGGGCAAGGTAATAAGTACATTTCTTATCAAGCATTGTTGCCTCCTCCTTTGTTTCCCCTTCCCATCCCTTCCCATATCCCCTCTCCGTCCCCCTCCCCCCCCTCCCCCTGCCCCACCCGGCCAAAGTTGTAAAGTCGTTGTGCTGGTAGCTTTAGTATGGTCTTGTGATCATTTGGGTAAATGCCCAAAAGTGGGATTGCTGGGTCATAGGGGAGCAATATGTGGAGTCTTTTGAGGAACCTCCATACTGCTTTCCAAAGTGGCTGAACAAGTTTACATTCCCACCAACAATGCAGTAGGGCTCCCTTCTGTCCACATACTTTGGAGGATCTTTACTGAAGTAACAGGTCTCCAGATCTTTCTTGCATTTGTCTCCCATCCTATGGAGTATGTACATCTTCCCAAGATATATGGTGTATTAATTACCTCCTGCTTATTATGCATTATTGGTGTCTAATCACGATGATATAACAATGGTACTGGTTATGAATCTATTCTAAGTATGATAAGCTTTTGAGAGGACAGTGATCTTCTACCCACACTCTCCAATAATAAACAAATACATTTTATTCACTATAATGTCTAGGGGAGTTGGGAGTGTGGCCTTCTCATGTGTGAAACCTCTTGACCAAAGGCCAGGGACCTTGGTGGAAGGAAATTAAGAAGGGAGGGGGTGGCACTAAAGAACAGAGGGAAGAAGGAAGGAGGGAAGGATGGGAGTAAGGAAAGCAAAGGAAGAAGGAAGGAAGGAAGGAAAGAAGGAACTTTGACTTAGTCTTAAGGTCAGCAATATGGGTCTAAAATAAAAAGCAATTCTGATACCAAGTTTTTGGGTCAAGAACTTCTTTTTTTTGTTTTGTTTTGTTTTTTTTGGTCCAGCTGTGGGGCCTGAACTCTGGGCCTGGCCGCTGTCCCTCAGCTCTTCAGCTCAAGGCTAGCGCTCTACCACTTGAGCCACAGCGCCACTTCCGGCTTTTTTCTTTTTGCTTATGTGGTGCTGAGGAATCGAACCCAGGGTCTCATGCATGCAAGGCAAGTGCTCTACCACTGAGCCACCTTCCCAGCCCTCAAGAACTTCTTATGTCTCTAAGTGTTATGTCTCCAAGGTACAGGCCTGCCTTCATTTCCTTGGCATACTTCTTTTAGGCTGGAAAAAATACTGTAGAAGCAGGTTCTTAGTCATGAAAACCATGGTGATAGATTTCAAAGCAAGACATCTTGAGCTATCAGTTAATTATGCTCTCTACAATAGGCTAAGCCATCAGCTGGAATGACTTACATAGCTGTGGACTAGTTCAGGAACCAAGAGTGAGTTTGTAAGCTAGAAAGAAGCCCTAAGACTTCTTACAACATCATCTTTGGTTATAGACTGAATATTAATATTAATATTAATCACCACCACCATCAATTTATACATGAAGCCCAAATCCTAAAAGAAATAGATTTTGGAGATGAAGTTTTCAGGAGGTAATTAGGTCATGGCAGACCCATGTGAGGGGTAGAAGCCTCACAAATGAAATTAGTGTACTTATGAAAAAAAATGAGAGAAATGATCCTTTCCACACCACAAAAAGAGGAAACAAAGAGAAGCGGCCATCTGCACTACAAACCAAGAAAAAGGCCTCCCCTAGACACTGCATCCTGATCTTGACTTTCCCAGCTTCTAGACTGTAAGAAATCCATTTCTGTTGTTTAAGCCACTCTGTCTATGAAACTGTATTATGATAGCCCCAACACTCTAAGACATCCTGGAAACCACCAGCATCACCCTCACCCCACCCTGCTTCTATAAAATCAACCCAGATTCAACATGTGATTTAGGGACTATCTACAAGATCAGATATCAAGCACAGAAGTGCTTGCAACAATGAAGGTGCCTCCTACAAGTGACTTGGGCCTTTGTGCTTCTCACAGGCTTTGCTCATTGAACCAGAGTTTGGTGTACAATAACAACTCCTGGGCTTTTGCTTTGCTCTGAGGTATTTCAGTGTATTCTCAATAAATTTTTTTCTGGCATTTTTTCATTAGAGTACTTTTAAGCCTATAGCAGACACTCATTTTTAAATTTTTTTAAATGTTAATTCTCTTTATAAAAGAACTTACATGTGGAAATAGGGTAGGGCATTTAGGAAGCATAAAAGCACATTGTTATCTTTAAAGAGTGGCTGGGGTGGAGCTCAGTGACAGAGCACTTGCTTTGCAGGCAATTTAAGAAAATATAAAATAGAATCTCAGTCTAAGAAACTCCTACCAACAAAGCACCCATCCGTTTTTTTTTTTCCTAAAAAGCTAAAAAAAAAAACCCAACATTCAAAAATTTTTATGATTTAACCAGTGTTTTCCTTCTCTCTAGGCATGAAATGACTATTCAAAAGCTATGAAAGCTGTGTGTAGGCCTATTTTCTAGATTTATAGTAATAAACATAATTTCTAGCATGAATTTAAAAAATACAAATGTGTAGATTGTTTGGTATTTGTTCTTCCTATTTGTTCCTCCTAACCCATTTTTCCTATTCCACTGTTTGAAATTGTCTTTTGCTCTCATGGTTTGGTGGCAGAAGCAATAGAGACCTCTCCTCAAAACCACACACATTCTCTCGTAAAAATAAAACTAGGAGTCGTGGTTTAAGTCTGGCCAGGTTGGCTGCTTATAAATGCATGATCATTCTTTAATATGGCCCTAATGTATCCTTCCCACCCTTTGTCCAAGCAGAATTCGAGTCAAGCTTTCCCAAGAAAAAGACTCACCCATAGCAGTGTAGACCTGGTTTGGAACATTTTTATTGGCAATACTGGTGTCATAGTTAGGAACCACAGACTTTTGCTGGGCTGTTTTAGCTTGAATGACAAGTATCAATGGTCAACTATATTTGAAATATTGTTAAAGTACCTAGAAATAATAGGCATTAAAATTCATTTCGTTCACTGCAACAAACCTCTAAAGACTTCATGTTCCCAGTGGAACTGGCATACTGTAATTGTTATTTGGAACTTAATGTAACCTCAACAGCAGCAGAGAGAATACAGTGCTCTCATTATGCACATGCTCTAGGATCGTTTATTTTAATGCTTTCAAATAAATATGTTCCATGCAGCACGCTACAATAAATAAGGAGCAGCAATGTTCTTCTAGTAAATCCATTCATAATGTGAGTCACCATGTAAAACACCACATCTCAAGTCTTTGGCCCTGTACCATATCATGAGGCACACCACATCTGCACCCAATCATATCTGGCTTCATATGGATTTAATAGGACTATGCCAGAAGTACGTGTAAGCACAAATTTAACCAGAGGTTTCCAGCTATTAAATACAGCTACTAAGTAGTTAAAAGGCAACAACTAAACCCATAAATGCCACCCCCCCTTCATTTCTGAGACAGAAATACAAAGACAGAAATGTTCTGGTCAAGTTCAGGTCTAAGGAGAACGCATGGTAGGATACATAGGGGAAACTTGGAGCAAAACTGGCACAACACGGTGCCCAAAATGTCACAGCAATACCGACACCAAATGAACATTGAACACAGGATGATGGGCGTGATTGCAGACAGTCAAGGCAGGGTCTGGATAGGGCAGCTCATTTCTACTAGGCAGATAACTCTACGGTGCCTTCTTCCTCACTGTCAGCTCTGTTTGCGCGAATCTCCACTAGGGTCCTGGCAAATCTTGTCCATTCATCGTTGTGGGGAACTGCAAGCTGCAAAGCAAATCAATGGAGAAATGACATAACAAGGTATCTTTTACATCTGCAAGCCTCGATGCCCGCATGGCGTCTCCTCCCAGAGCAGACATTTCCCTTGGAATGTAAAGGAAACCAAATATTCTTTGAATCAAGAAAGACCTGAAGTGTTGCTCTTAACAATTTGAAAAAAGGAAAATGTCACTCTCAGAAGTAAAAAAAAAATCACTCATGGAATTTATAAAACTTTGAAAACTTCGGCTAACTATATAGTTACAGCAGCCACATTAAAGCACTTTCAGTAATGAAAATTCTTTGTAAGAATGTCAGACTTACAGTGAACCCAGAAAATAAAAGCTGCATTATTAACCAAGATTTCAAAATAACTCTGGTATTTTCTTTCTCGTCAATGCTATTGATCCTTTTCCTCCTAAAGTGTCATTAGTGTGTCAATATACAGAACAAAAGAACAGCTTACATATGCATAGAAATTTTCCTATTATGAAGTAATGCGTGAGCTTTTCCAGTAAGATGTGTATGATGATAACTATGAATAATTGTAATACTCGCATTTGCCAAGAGTTTGGTTCTAAGTGCTTTATATATGTTTTAACTCACTGCTCACAACAATCACATGTAGAATAATTTATCTTACATATATAGAGTAAAAACATGCATTTTATAGAAGAACTGAAGGCAGAGAAAGATAAAATAATCTATCTAGGGTGTATGGATAGCAAATCATTTTACCAAAGTTATCTGGTTCTAGTATTAGACTTTTATCCTATGCATGTTCTATTGATTTGCCTAAAAGGGGGACTGATAAAATTTCCCCAAAATATCTTCTACTCTGTACAATTCAGTGAGGAGGAATTCACCCTCCCAATGGAAATTGTACCTTGAATTTTCACTAGCTGTTTTAAAAGATAATGATTTCTCTATATAGCATCCCAAAGTGAATTGCTTAAAGGTATCAGGCAAACGTTTGAAAGAGGAAATTATTTGAAGATGAAAAACAGAATTGAGAAGAAATCTGAAGGATTTCATGTACAATAAAATTGATTTAAACATTACAGTCATTTTCTTAAAGTTTTACCCTATAAGATGGTATAACTAATCCATCAGCATGCCTGGTACTCTACACTAATCACATAGTGTTTACTCACATAAATACTGAGACCATAAAAAAATTAAAAACACATCTTCATTCCCCAAAATATAGATTTTTAAAAACTAAACAGTAGAGGCAAATAAATCTTAGCTTTTAAATCATTTTGATAGCTGAAAAATTAGCCACTACACAGAGCCAGATGATTAGAACTCTAAGTTTCCATTACAAGTGACATTCTCAGATAAGGTCTGCCCAAGAGAACTTACTGAAGAGTGACAATGTTATTCTCTAAAGTATGTCCTTACATTAGAGCTCTAGTACTAAGGTTAAATGTTTCAAGAACTTAACTCTGGAAATGGAATTACAAGTGAGGCAAATATGTTTTACTTATGTTGAGAAATGAGGATTCCAAATTGGTCATATGGATAAGGTTTTGAATGGCTAAATACTTCTCTAGATATTGAAATAAATCCAAATTTCTTTTCAGCAGTGACACAAGTGTACAATAATACTAAATAACATTGTTAGCCCTCTGCTCAGACCATTTTCCCTGTTTTGAGCTGTATTTCACTATTTCCTGTATTTCACTATTCTTCACTTTTGTCTTCAATTTTATATAATATTGCACTGGGGAAATGAAGCCCCTCACAAATAAAAGATACTGGAGAGGAGAATAACCAAAAGCATAACAATCCAGGTTTGGAATAGTTTACAAAAAAAGATAGGTTCTCTGTTTTATTTCTCTCCTCCAATGCCTGACAAAGCCCTTTCAAGAATCAAAAAACAAGAGTCCAAAGAGAGTCATTTCTCAATAAAGCTCAAGCTCTTCAAAACTTCTTATAGCTTTGACTACTGGGGGAAAAATGAGGTCTTAACCAACAGCCAGAGCGTGTTGTTCGTAAAGGGCTTCTAAATTTAAAAGTACATAATTGGTTAGTATTAGTATTGTAATTAGCGTATAATGCCCTATGCAACATTTTATTGATAGAACTCCAGAGAAATTGTATTCTAAAACAAGAAAATAGATAAACATATTTACGTAGCTTCATGCAGTTGTAATTGCAAGAGTGTTAAGAAGTGACCTCTAGCAAAGATTCTAGAGCACTGAGGTTTGAATCTGTGCACACAAAGTTTAGAAAAGACCTGAATATCACTTGGGCTACGTATAATTGCACATCTACCTTCTCAAGAATGAGTTCTGCTTTGCTCAATGGAAGTGAAGCTCACATCCTTGAACTACCAGCCATGCCCTTAAAAATACAGACTTATCTTACGAAAGTTTTCATACTATTTGAACCCATCTTGTCCTCTTTCCAATCTGCTAGAGTTTCATGTAGCTTGGCAAAATATTATAAGCTCATTTTTAAGTAAGGTTGTTCTATCAAGTCTTTTCTTTCTAGAATACTTTCTAGAAATGTTAGCTTGTTTTATTCAGGCAACAACATTCTAGAACAGAAGATGATGAAAAACACAATTGTTGGAAACTGGAAATGACTTTATCTACCTCCTCCCGTTATATTTTCTCATCTAGTTGTCTGCAAAAATAACCCAACTCATTGTAATGTTAGATTTACAAAGTACACTGCAGACTATTCTTTTTTTAGAATTAAGTATCCCCATCAGGAAGCATTTTAAGTATAATCTTAGCTCAAATGTGTGAATGTGTATTCCCAGGCTCCTTCCACACTCAAAGTAATAGTCTTTTGCATTTGAATTGCTTGTAGGTAAGAGCAAACAGGTGTCCTAACAAACAAGAAGGCCACTCCTGCCACTTTCCATCTATTGGCTATAAATTAAATGTTTGGACAGAACTAGCCTTCTTACTTTTGTAAGCTCCTGATTTCATCTTGCTTGGTACTTTCTGATTAGAATGGGCTAACAGGAGGCTGAGGACATGATGTACTTGAGAGTTCCCCTAGGAGAGTCATAATCTAATCATAAGTAGGAAAAAAAATCTTTGAAGATTGAGACTTGTCCGTACTAAGTAGCATATAAATTTATCCAATCTCAATCCGTTTGATCAGTCATTAGTGATATACTAGGTACAGTGCTAGAATTGAAGATATGGTAATGAGCCCTTTTGAAGCATGAGAACCATGAAATGTAGCTGACATTAATTATGCTTTTGTAAGTCAAAATGTATATATATATACACTAGCTGGGTATCATTGGCTCATGCCTGTTTATTCTGGCTGAATATAGAAGGATGATGGGTTAAGGTCAGGATGGGCAGAAAAGTTTCTGGGACCCCTTTTCAAACTAGCATGCCTGTCATCCAAAGCTATATGAGAGACTGAAAAAGGGGGAGATCACAAGGCCAAACCAGTCTAGGCAGAAAAGTCCTCAAGACACTTTAGAGGAAAACAATTACATTTTTTATTGGTAATGAACAATTTTGATAGTTTAAAAATAATAAGAAGCCATAGGAAGAAAATAGCCCATAGTTAAATCAAAAGAGCACGCTATAATAAAGGACTTGTCCAATGTTTTGAATGGAAGTGGAACTGGAAATGTTTTGGGCTTCAGATTCATCTGCTGAAGTCACATCAGAGTTCGGAGATGACTCATGTGTTTCCATTGCCTCTTAGAACAGAGTTCACCCATAGCTGGTCTGCTCCCCTCATACATAACTGCTTCCTAACTTTTTGCTAAATGCATAAAGCATTTTAGTGCCCCGAAGAGCTCAGAGCTCTGAATCTTGAGATAATAAAATCCTAGCTCTACAAATGGCCACCTTTTATAGATATACTATGACCTTATTTTTACAACCTAGGGTCAGAAGGCCCAAGGTGGTTACTGAGGTAACAATACGACCACAAGAAGGAGGGAAAATGAACCTCAGATTCGGACAGTAGACTCAAGTCCTCTCATCTCTGTTGCTGGCAGTCCCCGAGCACTTAACCTCTCATTGCTCAACTGTAAAATGGGAATGATGACGTTTGACCATTTATCAATAGAGATGTGGAGAGGATGAGAAAGGTAATCTAAGTGGAGAAGGGCTGTGAGCCCAGCATGCAGTGCCCATATCCCATATGCTCTTTTACTTTAAATTATCACTCGGATAAAACGCAGTGCACATGTCAACCTGCAGCATTTTTTTCCTAGTTGAATTTTTTCTTGAGAAGAAGAGGGGGCGAATGCAGTCAAGAATTCAAATGTACATCCTACAAAAATTAAGAAGAGTGGGGGAAGGGGTCTGTAGGGGTAGGATGAATAATAATGTTGAAAGCGGTGACACTGATCAAGATGCACTGTATTCATAAACTGCTTTGTTAAATGGCAACCCCTCTGTACAACCACTTAAACATAACAAAATAAATAAATAAAGGGACTCATTTGATTGCTATGAAAATTTTAAGGGACAGGATGTCTCTAGCAGATAGGAAAGGAAAACACAGGTGCATGCCTGTAATTCCATCTATTTAAGAGATCAAGACTGGGAGGATTTTGAGGTCAACAAGTAAAAGAGTTGCTGAGACCCATCTAAACCAACAAGCCTGCCATGCTGGTCCATACTTGTATCCCAAACTGCATGAAAAGCAGAGGTAGAAAGATCTTTGGCTGAGACTAGCTCTAGACAAAAAAATATGATATTCTCTCTATGAAATAACTAAAACCAACAAAAGATCTGGGGACCTAGCTCAAGTGGTAGAATGCCTGCTTAGCAAGCAAAAGGCTCTGAGTTCAAAACCCCGTACAAGTTCTTCCCATCACCAGCAAATAACGACCAAGTGATGGTTATCTGTCCACCTAGGGCAATCAGGAGCCACACCCTTTAAGAAATGCCAACAAAATGGCAGACAGGTAATGAGTTTTAAATTACCTGCTGAAAGAGTCTGAAATTAAAAAAAAAATTCTGAAATTGTTTTTACTTTTCTAAGATTCTGTGGGAGACAAAATGTCAAAA